GCACTCGGGACCGAGATGACGGCGACGCGTCGTCCCGGGGGTGCGAGGTCATTGACGGCGAGGCGGAAGCCAACGCGTTCCACGGTGCATCGGCGCTCAAGAAGCGCTAGCTCCTCCGTGGCACCGAGGTCGAGGCTGAGGGGTGCCAGGAGTGGCTGTGTGTCAACGCGAGTGTCGCGCCAGAGCGCCTCATAGCGGAATTTTTCGTCCGCTGCGTGTTGATCGACGAGGAACAGGTGATCGCCGAGGCGACACACGAGAAAGCCAAGATTAAATTGACCGAGCGCCTCCATGGCACTGAAATCAGCCTTGGCTAGCGCTGCGGTTGGCACGTTGCCGCCCGGACGTCGATCAATCTGTACGGTCCGGTGGCCATGGCCACAGCGCGACTGCACCGCGAGGGTGCCGAATACCGAAGAAGCGTGCAGCCGCGCTGGTGCCACGGCGCAGTTCCAATCAATGTGAGCTCTTGCGGCCTGCCATGGGGAAAGCGCTATGACTTGCGCGACCGCGATCGTGTCGCTGTTGCGTTGCGTCGGGCGCAGCGTTGGTGGTACAACGAGCATTGCTTCCCTCGCAGGAGCATTTGTGGCAGTGGCAGTGCTGGTAACACATGATGGGACCGCAATGGGGAGCACCAAGGAGCAGGGGGCTTCCGTATCGGGCGTGGTACTCGGCGCGACGTGCGGTGCGAGGGACCTGCCACCTGCAAAGCTCCCGCGCGATGGCTCCCAGAGGTCATGGAGAGCGATACGCAGTGCGGCAACAAGCCTGCGCGGGCGTGGTCGTGTCGCTCGTGAAATGTCAGTCGTGTCACTACGTCCGCATCGAATTTCCTGTCTCAGCTCACAACATGAAGGACGACGAACAAATTTGAAGTAGCCGGTAAGGGCACCGCGCCGCGCCCAGTTTCGTCGTCCAGAACGACATCACGCTTGTCTGGGGAAACGTTGACGTCTACGGCGCTTGGAGGGACGCGAATGTCAAGGACGAAGGCTGGACGACCGCGCCGATCGCCCTCGACACTCCGCCACACATCGCCGATGCACCGAGACACGCGAGGTGCGTCAATGGGCCTTCCGTTGACAAAGAGGAACTGGCGATCACCCCCGCCGCCTCTCGGCCCTGGCGCATCGAAGCCACCAGCACGCGACATGAGGCCAATGACAGCCAAGGAGCAGTCCTCACCTCCCCTAAGATCGAAGCTGACCTCCTCGAGCGATCGGGCGAACGCGTGTCCAAAGAGCGCTGAAGCGCTCTCGCGCAGCGACCTCGGCGCTTGCACGGCGATTGCTGTCCGCCGCGTGGCGCCACCGCCGCTGACGAGGGTGAGTCGCAGGCGGCAACCTAAGCGCGGCCAGTTTTTGCGCTCACCAGTGCACGAGCCCAGCGGAGAATGTCGCACTTGCGTCGACGGAGCAGGGCCATCGCTGGCAGGCAAGACGATCTCGCCTCTGTCGAGTCCATCCGATGCGAAATAGACGCTGCCGGGGACCAACGGCGACGAGCGCGTGCGCTTGGACCTGTGATAGATAACAGCTCGAGCATGACTGGGAAATTAAGTCTCGACGGAGCGTCGTGGCTCGATAGCTTAGGGAATTAAGCGTCTTTTGGTGAGCCGAACTTATCGCACAATCGAGCTCTGAGACCGCGAAGTCGAGCATTCTGAGAAGGGGAAAATTTGTACCCCGGAGCGGACTGTGCGAAGTGCGCGACTAACGTGCCACTTCCAGCGCCGCGCCTGCGCGACAAAGGGTCTAGGCTGCCCTGCGGTTGCGAATTTCGCAGCTCCACGCAAGATCAGCGCGACGAACAGGAGCACAATCGAAGAGCCCGCGCACCGTGACAGTCGTGCCGACCTGAGGCAAGCGTCGCGTTTGCGCGGCGCACAGGTCCCGTAGTTCCGGTCCGAATATCCGCGCGCCGAGAGATCGGCAGATGGAATTCAGTTGATTTCGTTTGCTCGAATTTCGTTTGCTGCGCGGTCACCGACACTTCGTGCGTGCCTGCAGACACCAGTTGGACAAGATGGGCACCAATGAGACCCGCCCCACCCCCGGTATGCGGCGAAAACGGTTACGTCTCAAATGACGAGTGTGGACAAATAATGCTTCCCGACTTCGCTCACGATAGATAAGGAGCCCCCCCCCCCCCTCGAGGTCAGTGGCGGAGGTTCAAGCCGAAGGAGATTCATGCGGGCACAGGCACACGCGGAGTTGAGCTCTTAAGGATACCGTCCCGCTGGAAGCTCAGACGCGCGCCCACGGCGTCGGCAGACGTTCGCGTGACGACGAGGACTTCCCCCGCGAGCCTACACGATGCGCACGAGAGTCTCCGGCAATCAACTTCACGAGAAGTTTCGACGGTTGAGATTCAGTTCAGTTGCGGCCCCAGGCCAGGGTGGTCCAAGCGAGACTCGCCGGCGATGTCAAGGGGGGACAGCCAGTCGTCATGTGGAGTGCGGCAAGCCAGGCTTAGGACTTCGCCAGACGAAGGTTGCCGGGCGAGACCAGTCCAACTAATGCGCTCTGAAGCTATTGATTGAATGTGTGCAAAGTCTAGGACCTCGCACCGGGTGAGCCAGGGATACTCGGAGAGCCATCAATCGAGAGGATCGTGCGGGGATCTCTGGCTCCGTTCGCGATCGACCCCCAAGTGGAGTGATCCTACTTGTTAGGCACTTTGACCAGGGCGCGGTGCACGTACTCGCGCAGAGAAGCGAGCGCCTCGCCACGAAATCCAAAACTCTGCACAGTCCGTAATTCCTCAAAGTTAACCAACTTTGACGTCGCCGACCGCGCGGCGACGAGAGCAAAGTCGCGCGGCGCTATACCTGAGCACAAATCAGATCTTCAAAATTGAATTACAATGTAATTTCATTCAAATTTTTGGGCGGGGTCTTCATGTATTCTTCGTCGTCATGTATTCTTCAAAGATCGCAACGGGATATCGGGTTCCCAAGATCAACGACGAGGATGGAACCACAAGTCAAAAACAGATTTTGACTTGGCTGCGTTGGCGCAGCTCGCTGATGGATTCCACGCGGTGCGCGATACCATGCCCATTATCCGCGCACTCAATCTCTGCGCCCCCCCCGTCATCGTTGATCCGCAACTCGATCGACGTCGCACCGGCATCCAGGGCATTTTCCAGGAGCTCCTTCACCGCGCCAGCGAGATCCACTACAACCTGCCCAGAGCTCAGTTTCCTCGCAGATGCGGTGTCTATCTTCGCAATGTTAGTCAACATAGGTTGCAGCGAAATGACGAGCGTGATGCGTTAATCTGCGGCGTGATCTATCGTAGATAATTGTGCAATTTCAACATCGTTTTCATTGGGACGCGACTGACTAAACTACGCGACGCTTCTCTCAGAGTCTTCTTCTTGCCATCAAAGCGGGGTTTGCTCCGAGGGGGTTGACCGCCGGTATGCCTGGTAGTATGCGCCCGCTATGCGCTATGCGGGCTTTATGCGGGCTTTATGCGGGCTTTATGCGGGCTTTATGCGGGTGGTATGCGGGTGGTATGCGGGTGGTATGCTGGTGGTATGCTGGTGGTATGCGGGTGGTATGCGTCTGCTATGCCGGTGGTATGCGGCTGCTATGCCGGTGGTATGCGGCTGCTATGCCGGTGGTATGCGGCTGCTACGCTGGTGGTATGCTGGTGGGCTGCTATGCTGGTCTTATGCGCCTGCTATGCTGGTGGTATGCGGCTGCTATGCTGGTCTTATGCGGCTGCTATGCTGGTGGTATGCGCCTGCTATGCGCCTGCTATGCGTCTGCTATGCGCCTGCTATGCGCCTGCTATGCGTCTGCTATGCGCCCGCTATGCGTCTGCTATGCGGCTGCA